CTCACTTTCTCTCACTGGTTTCCAGAATGGATTTTATTTCCTCAAGTTTAAGAAGCAGAGTTTTCCTTCCGACAAATGATCAATATGACTGCCAGGTATTTGAAAACACACAGCATTTTAAATACCTTGTCATATTTGGGGACTTCTTTATCATAATTTTTTGGGTACTGATTGTCTTTCACAGATTACATTTTATTACTTCTCCAGCCAAGAGAGTGGCAAATTAATGGTTGGACTTCAAACTGCATGTGGAGGTCCTATTCAGCATTTACGGCAAAACACAGCTGCACTCCCAAATCAGTGGAAGAGAAATGTCATCAAAATCCAGAGTTCACAGAGATTTCAGGTATGTGTGTTCTATTCTCTAACTATGGCTTTGAAGAAAATATAGGATACAGATCTTCAACACCAGGTGATCTAGGTGACTGTCTCAGTGTGCCAGGGACTGAGGGGTTGACTTTCAAATGCTGAAAGTGGACATCTCACGTAATCTGGGATGGCTAGTCCCCCTCAAAGACACTTTTACAATAAGGTTTTAAATTTTATGTATTAAAACTAAAGTTGATATATTTTAACATATACTGATATATCAATAAAATACAACCTTTAATTTTCTCTTAATTTCTTGAACCCCCTCCATTTTCCTCTCTACTTTTCTTACTGTTCTGACTTCTCTTTCTTTTCATTTCTTCTTCTTTCCAGACTTTTATTATGCTTTTGAGAGAAGGGAATTATGGGTAATGAGGAAGGAAAATGTTTAATTTAAATACTAATTCCAAATGTTGTTGAAGTAGAATAATTGTCATATTCATTTCATAGATAAATTCAACACAGCCTTTATTTTCTAAAATAATTTAGAGAATTAAAGCCAATTCAAACTTATAAAAGGCAAAGTTATTTATGCAGCCTAATAAAACTTATGCATGGTAGAAATAATAATCTAATGATTATTACACGTTCTTGAAGAAGTGTTGCATAGTTTAACATTTGGGACAATCAAACAAAATTTTCCTGTTAAACATGAGATGTTAAAGCATTTTATTCCTTAAAAAATTATTTTCTAGTCCTGATCTGTGATCCAATTTAATCCAAGTAGATTTCTTTTATGATATTATTAGAATGATATAATAATTGATTTTATAAATTTGGCATAAATCAAATCATTTGTTATATGGTGGATTTAGCACTTGCTTAAATAGAGGGATTAAACTGGATTGAATTTTACCTTTGATTCTTTTGAGTGGCTAAGAGGGAAAGAACGGCTAAATGAACAGGATCTTCAGTGCAAAAGTTGAATTATAAAAATGACATAGTTTCTTAATTGCTTGGTCAGAAATCACTATAATTTCAAATTTTCAGCCTTTGATAAACTTAATGGGAATCAAAAGAAGTCTACAAAAAATCCCTTAACAGATGGTTAAATGACATGACTTCAGAGAAACTCTCACTGGAAACACTAACCAGAGATTGAGACTATACTCTATTGAAGTCAAATATCAGTGTTGGGGGTGCGGTGGTTGGGATGGCATCTTAAGCCATCAGGCACTTAAGTCTTTCTATGAACAATTCATTTATTTACTTAAGAAAGATTAATTTGCACCTCTTAAGATGTGGTAGGTACAACGAAGGGAAAGTTCTGTATACCATGTTAAGAGAAGATGATTGACAAGTGTTGGGTGGGGCTACTATGTGTCCCTGAGCCCTCAAGACATCTGTGGCTTTCAAGAGTTGTGGGATGCAGAATAAATAGTCCCTGAGTACCAATAATGTATTTAATTTTCTGTGGATACTCAAATGTTATTAACTGTTGGAGAAGTTCTTCATTTATTTCTTACACTTCTCTTCTTAATCTCCTGTGTCTGCTTGTCTTTTCTCAACAATGACAACAAAAGCAACAAAACCAGGCCAAGACTGCTTTTATGGAGATCGAGTCACATCGAGTAGACTCTGAAGGATGAACTTGCTGAAGTTCCATCTCTCTCCATTCTTGTGGAGATTTAATAACTGAGATGAGAATCTTATCTACCAGTCGACTCCATTATTATTTACACATCTTTTTCTGATGTGTATGGGAGTCTTAAACTACTTTTACCAAGCTTTGTGCCTTCTTAGACCTGCCTGTCTTTCAGTCAAGGTCTCTCTGAGAAGCATAAGAGATTAGAGTGTTGAGTAGAGCTGGAACTTGCTGTATCTTGTAGGTCAAACCTTTAAAATAACGTCCTTGTTTTGCTCAGCTTTCTATTCTCAAGTGATACATCTTGAGTTCTGATGATTAAATATGTGCAGTAGATCAATTAAAAAAAACGTAAAACTCCAGAATATGTAATATCCAGGGTGATTCTGCTGTAGCTGAGGCAGCAAGAATATTCACTTGAGTGCTTTAAATGTACCAGTGGCTTCAACTAAAGCAGATGCATGTGCAATATATTAATTTTATTTCCCAAAATACACTATTGCTGATGTGAAAATAGTGCATTTACCTTAAAGGCTATGCAAAAATTAGGAGACCATATGACTCTCTCGGGATTCTTCAGCTACACCAGTCTTTTCGGATTGCAGGTATGCTTTAGTTCTATCCTGTCAGCAAGTGAGCAGATGTTCATTTGCTTTTGTTTGGTGGGCCACAGAGAAGTGCTGTGCTTGTAATGTAGCCTGCCACCATCTAGTATCTCATTCCTGAAAAGCTTTTGTGAGGGGCTTATTTGAGGGAATTCTGTAATCACCGACTTCAGACAATATCTGCTTCCTCATCAACTTATAAGCCTCTGAGAATTATTTCATTTTCTGCCATTCCCTTTCCATGCTGACTTCTAATAGTTTAAAAGCTATGCATCTTTCTTTTAAAAATACTCAAATAGGAGATTTCAATTCCAGCTGCTGGATCCCAGCTTAGCATGGGCTTTGGAGAAAGCCTCTGCAGCTGACGTTCACCTGGGGTCTTTGTTACCTCCATCTGTGAATGACTAGGTCTATCCTTTAATGAAATTGAAACAAGTTAATTTCTGAGGGAATACTATGCATAAACAAGGATTAGCATTTATCTACTTAGCAAAGAGGGAAGCCCTTCGGAGAGTTTCTGAAGATATTTATGGAATAATAATACTAAAATGTCTTGCGCACTTACTATGTGTAAGGCAGGATGTTTACTTCTTTGGATACATCATTGTATTGACCCTTCACAAAAATCCTCTAGGGTAGAAAAATGACTTACCCCATGGTTCATTGAGAATTACAAGCTTTGGAGAGTTATCCTACTAAGTCCCATAACTGCTTAGACTCTAGGGTAGTTTGATTTCAGATCTCACTGAGCCGTAATAATTTTTTTATTATGTTAAAGCATTACAGTGATTTATAATACATAGGGGGTAAAAAACCAACCCCTGGTCTGGTCAAATCTGTTGTGTCTGACTCATTAAATACTCCTTTGTCTGCTGTGCTGGATAAAACAAATTTAGGCATTGCATGCTGCTGGTTAATTGCAGTCACATTTTTTTAAGAAATTGCAGATATAAGCAATTATTTTTACCATTGTCCTAAAATATTCAAGGAGACAAAGAATAAAACAAACTAAACATACGGTAGAAATCTAGCCCCCAGCTGAAGTGAAACCTTCTGTCAGAGGCATTAGAACTAAAGGAACTCTATCTTGACAGAGGGCTGGGAAATGAGGCTGGGGCTTTCTGGGCTATTTTTCTGGAAAGCTAAATATTCCTAGCCTCTAGATGTTTACAGTTAAGGAAACAAATTGATAACATTTGCTAAACAGACCTAGACTTGGGAATGTCCTGGTATCCTGATATCTTGAGAACAGAAGCATCCCTAATTTTGCTTTAAAGATAATGATGTAGATTCTTGCAAAATATAGTCATTTAGAAAATTAATCCTTTATCACAAAGGATTGTAGCAGAGTATATCTCCCTGTTACCTTTTTTTAAAATCCTATTATACAAACAAGTATTGTACCTAGGGTGGACATGTTCCTCCTCTTACTTTGGGAATGCCCTGCTTTGACTATGGAGTAGCCATTCTTTTATTCCTCTACCACCTTCTTCTCCTCCCCTTTTCCTCCTCCTCCTCCTTCTTTTTTTTTTTTTGAGATGAAGTTTCACTCTTGTTTCCTAGGCTAGAGTGCAATGACACAATCTCATTGAGAAACCTCCGCCTTCCTGTGTCAGCCTCCTGAGTAGCTGGGATTACAGGCGTCCACCACCACGCCCAGCTAATTTTTTGTATTTTTAGTAGAGGTGGGGTTTCACCATGTTGGTCAGGCTGGCCTTGAACTGCTGACCTCAAGTGATCCACCTGCCTCAGTCTCCCAAGGTGCCAGGATTGCAGGTATGAGTCACCGTCAGTCATTTTAACAATAAGTCACAGAAAAATAATTGCTGGTCAATGTTTACGTAATGGCAGAAAATGTGCAATAGGATAGCATGAGTATGACATTTAAGGCAAGAGTGGGTAACATTTAGAGAACCAAAGGGGAAGATGGGACACAACTGCAGAGGCCAAGAACTGGAGCTCAAGATGGAGAATGGATCCAAAAGCTGGTAAAGGCACAGTGATATGAACATATAGGAACTTGTAGGGAAGAATCCCGGTGAATATTGCTGCATTTCACTAACAGGTTCCCTATCCTATGCCAGATATCTGAGATACAGTGATGCCCCTACATTTCCTTTGTTTTTGAGAGTGTTTGCTTTGATTTCTTTGCACCTAGAATTGTCATGGTCACCCAAGTGCTTCTAGAGAGTGATATGTTTCCTATTGCAAGTTCTCTTTTATACAAAACACTGTGAGACAGTGATGTTCCTTGCTTTGTGTTTTTGTTTTGTTTTTCTTGTGCAGGTTGTTTTTCAAGGTCAAATGGCTTCAACTGATGAACAGGATAGAGTCATGGCTATTGATGATATATCTTTCAGTTCAGACTGTTTGCCTGCCAATGGTAAGAACTTTTTCTCTCATTTTGATCTTTACTGTATGTAAAGAATTCAGTGCAATTTAAGCATTGTAATGGATTTAATCTGCTGTTTTGTCTGATGTTTTCATGTGGGATATTTTTCATTGTTCTAATACATTGTGTAACGGGCTGGATCTATACTAGAAGGGAAGATTGGCTATTTTTCACTGACTGATGCTGAAAAGAACTGAATGGGATAATTTAGTCTCAGACTTGAAATCTTGTACCAATGTTTACAGTGGCTAAAGTTAAATCTCAACAAGAGAATGCTGTGCCTTCTAGGAGACTGGGAGAAAACTAGCCTCCGTAGATTTGAAATTGTCTTCTTGGACAATTCGTTTGATTATTCTGCTGAAAGATACAAAATGGAGAGTTATAATCTACTTTCTATTTTGACACATCACTAAGCCACATATATCAGATGCAAAATTTTATTTATATTGTTCCTTTGATTATATTAACTGAATGATAATCTATTTTTTATTTATATTATTCCAAAAACAATTCAATATTAAAATTATAATTAGAATAGCATAAAATATAAAGCATAATATAATAAAAAATAATCAGTCATATATATATTTCAGGATTTTATCTTTTAAAAATTTTGTTATATTATGGCATGATATAACAATAAAGATAGCTATCTTATAGATAAGGCTTCTTAGATCTAATTTGGTACAAGTATATGTTAGTTGTGGTAAATAATATTTCAAAACAAGAAAAGATGTCTTCATCTATTTAAGAGAGACCATAGGATCTTGATACTGTGCTTTGTTTTTAAAGAGTTTTATTTTATTTTCAGTTGATACATAATTGTACATATTTATGGGACATTATGTGATGTTAAACACATGTATACATTGTTTAATGATTAAATTAGAGTAATTAACTTATCCATTATCTAAAAAAATTATCTGTGTAGTAAGAACATTTGAAATTCTCTCTTCTAGTGATTTTGAAATAAACAATATAATATTGTTAACTATAATCACTCTACTGTGTAATAGAAAACCAGAATTTATTCCTCCTATCTATCTGTAATTTTATACTCATTCAGAAGTTTCTACACACACACATCACTCACACTATCCTCCCAGCCTCTGATAACCACTATTCTACACTGTACTTCTGTAAGATAGGCTTTTGAAAATTTTGCAAACGAGTAAGATAATATGGTATTTGTTTTCCTGTGTCTGGCTTATTTCACTTAATATTTTCTAGATTCATTCATATTGTCACAAATGATAGGCTTTTATTTTTTTTATGGTTAAATAAAAACGAATTATTTATCCATTCATCCACTGATGAACACTTACGCTGATTCCATACCTTGGCTATTGTAAATAGTACTGCAAAAAACATGGGAATGCAAAAATCTCTTTGACAGTGATTGAAATTATATCTCTTTCAGTTCATTTTTTTAAAAATAAATACCCAGAAGAGGGATTGCTGAATCATTTGGTAATTCTGTTTTCAACTCTTTGAGGAACCTCCATACTGTTCTATATAATGATTGTACTAATTTACATTTCTACCAACAGTATATAAGGATTCCCATTTATCCACATCCAAACCAGCATTTGTTAACTTTGACTTTTTGGTAATAGTCATTCTGACAAGTGTGAGATGATATCTTATTGTGGTTTAAATTTGCATTTCCCTGATGATTAATGATCCTGAGCATTTTTTTCATGTTCTATTTACTAGGCATTTTTCTGTTTTTTTCTGATAAATGTCTATTGAGGTTTTCTGTCCTTTTAAAAATTTGATTATTTGTTTTCTTGGTGTTACTTGTTTTAAGTTTCTTATGTATTCTAGGTATTAACTCCTTATCGAATACATAGTTTGCAAACATTGACTCCTATCCGTAGGTTGTGTCTTCACTCAGTTGTTCCTTTGTTGTGCAGAAGCTTTTCAGTTTCATGTAATCTTATTTTTTTCTATTTTTGCTTTTGTTGCTTATCCTTTGAGTTCTTATCCAAAAAAGTCATTGCCCAGACAAGTGTCATGAAGCATTTCCCTTAGGTCTTCTAGTACTTCTATAATTTCAGCTCTTATATTTAAGTCTTTAATCCATTTTGCCTTGATTTTTGTATCTGGTGAGAGATATAGGCCTAGTTTCATTATTCTGCATGTGGTTGCTCAATTTTCCCAGCAGAATTTATGGAAAAACTTTCCTTTACCCAATGTGTGTTCTTGGTGCCTTTGTCAATCAGTTGGTTGAAAATGTATGGATTTATTTTGGTATTCTCTATTCTAATCCACTGGTCTATGTGTCTGTTTGTATGCTAATACCATGCTGTTTTTTAAAGTATACTTTGAAGTCAGACTGCATAATGACTCAGCTTTGTACTTTTTGTTCAAGATTGCTTTATATATTCAAGATTTGTTGTGGTTACATAAATATATTTGGATTGGTTTCTCTAGTTCTGTGAAAATGTCAGTATTTTAATAGAGATCTTATTTAATCTGTAAATCGCTTTGGGTGGTAAGGACATTTTAACAATATTTATTCTTCTAATCCTTGGACATTGAATATATTTCCATTTTTGTGTGTGTGTTGGCTTCAATTTCTTTCATAATTTTTTTGTAAGTGTATTGTGGGGATCTTTTAGTTCTTTGCTAATTCCTACATATTTTATTTGTAGCTATTGTAAATTATGTCACTTTTATGATTTCTATTTTAAATAGTTTACTATTATAATTTAGAAATACTGTGGATTTTTATATTTTGATTTTATATTATATCACTTTATGGAATTTATTTATTGGTTCTAAATGTTTCTTTGTGAAATATTTAGGCTTTTCCGTATATGAGATCATGTTGTCTGCCAAGAGGGACAATATGACTTCCTTCTTATTGCCTGATTGTTCTGGCTGGGAATTCCAGTACAGTATTGAACAGAAGTGGTAATAAAAGGCATCCCTGTGTTATTCCATATCACAGATGAAAAGCATTCAACTTATCTCCTTTGGATTTTTTCATATATGGCCTTTATTATGTTGAGGTATGTTTTTTCTATACTTAATTTGTTAGATTTGTTACCAGGAAGTGCCATTAAACTTTATCAAGTGCATTTTCTGCATTTATTTAAATTATGTCTTTTTTAAAAATTCTGTTGATGTGATGTATCACATTTGTTAGTTGTATATGTTGAAACATCTTTCTATCGCAGGATGACTTCAACTTTATTATGGTGAATAATCTTTGTAAGTTGCTATTGCATTTTATTTCTTAGTATTTTGTTGGACATTTTTGCATCTGTGTTCATCTTGGATATTAGCCTGTAGTTTTCTTTTTATATTGTGTTCTTGTTTGATTTGCGTAGAAGGGTGAATCTGGCTTCACAGATTGAATTTGGAAGAATTCCCTCCTCTTCAATTATTTTGGGAATAGTTTGAAAAGAATTGTTATTATTTATTTATTTATTCTATAAGTGAAATCGTTTTCATATTTATGGGGTACATGTGAATTTGTTACATTCATAGAATGTATAGTGACCAACTTGGGATATTTGGGGTATCCATCACTTTGAGTTTTTATCACTTCTATTTGTTAGTAACACTTGAAGTCCTCTCTTCTAGCTACTTTGAAAGATAATATATGGTGTTGCTAACTATATACCTGCTCTGGCATCAAATATTGGGGCTTATCTAACTGTATGTTTGTGCTCACTATTCAGCCTCTCTTTATATTCCCTTCCCATCCACTCATCCTTCACAGCCTATAGTATCTATCACTCTATTCTCTATTTCCATTAGATCATTTTTTTTAGCTCTCACATATGAGTGAGAGGTTATGAGTTATTTATTAAAGGTTTCCTAGAATTTTGTAGTGAAGCCATCAGGCTCTGGGTTGTTCTTTGGTGGGAGACATTTTATTAATGACTCAATCTGTTCAGATTTTCTATTTCTTCAATTTTAGTAGGTTTTATGTGTCCAGAAATTTATCTGTTTCTTCTAGGTTTTCCAGTATATGATTGTTCATAATGGTCTTTTATGATCCTTTGTGTTTCTGTTCAACCAGTCAAAATACCTCCTTTTTCACCTCTCATTTTATTTGCACCTTCTATTTTTTTAACTTAGTCAAGCTATTATTTGTCAATTTTGTTTATCTTTTTAAAAAAGATTTTTTCTTTGTTGTGTTTTGTATTGTTTAGCCTCCATTTCATTTAGATCTGCTCTGATCTTTATTATTTATTTCATTCTACTAATTTCGAGTTTAGTTTCTTCTTGGGTTTTCTAATGTCTTGAAGTATAACATTAGGTTGTTTATTTTGGATCTTTCTAATATTTTGATTTAGGGATTTGTTGCTATAAGCTTCTTTCTTAGAATTGCTTTTGAAAATCCCATAGGTTTTGGTAGGTTGTGTCTCCATCTTTATTTGCCTCAAGAAATAATTAAATGTTCTTTTTAATTTCATCATTGGCTTATTTTGTTCTTCAGGGGTATGGTTAATTTTTAGTATTTGTATGCTTTTCTTTTTTTTTTCTTCTTTTTTAATTGCATTTTAGGTTTTGGGGTACAAGTGAAGAACATGCAAGATAGTTGCATAGGTACACATGTGGCAGTGTGATTTGCTGCCTTCCTCCCCTTCACCTATATCTGGCATTTTTCCCCATGCTATCTCTGCCCAACTCCCCACCCCCCCGTCCCTCCCCTATGCCCCCCAACAGACCCCAATGTGTAGTGCTCCCTTCCCTGTGTCCATGTGTTCTCATTGTTCAACACCCACCTATGAGTGAGAACATGCAGTATTTCACTTTCTGTTCTTGTGTCAGTTTGCTGAGAATGATGGTCTCCAGGTTCATCCATGTCCCTACAAAGTACACGAACTCATCATTTTTGATGGCTGCATAATATTCCATGGTGTATATGTGCCACATTTTCTCTGTCCAGTCTATCATTGATGGGCATTTGGGTTGGTTCTAGGTCTTTGCTATTGTAAATAGTGCTGCAATGAACATTCGTGTGCATATGT